CCCCAGGGCCCCCGGCCGGGCGGTAACCAAACCCGGGGTTTTGTACACGGAGCCCTCGGGGCCTCGCCGCCTCAAACGCCGCCTCAGCCCGCGAGTGCTCCTGCACCGAACAACCGCCCGTGCTCCCGGCAGCCGGGCACCCAGCCAGGCCGAAACGCGGTAAAACCAACCCCCTCTCTCTCCGAGAGAAAAATAGAGAAGGGCAAAAGAGCAGCGGTGTGTGGTTACCGCTGTCCTGTTGAGGTAACTTTTCCAGAAAGGCCATTCAAGTTATCTGGCAGCTTTTGAAAGGAGGAAGGCTAAGCAATAAGCATTTTAAATAGGTCAAGAAAACATTCTTCAGCGCCCGCACTAGTAGCCAGAACCCCCATCTGTTATCACGGGAAACGCTGCAGTTGTAAACCTTGCCAGCAGATGCCACCACAGTAAAGTTGTTACAAAATACATAGAGGAATCAAGATGCTTCTGCTCCTTGGTAGGGCTTGGTTACCTACCCAGCAGCTTCACAGAATTGCTTAAATCAAAAGCCGGTCATTGGAATAAAATCCCCCAAATGCTGCACCACCACCATCCCTCCCAGGGGACTGAGTCTTCTCAGGTTTAGTGCAGAAACAAAATTACAGCATTGCAAAGCATGAAGGCACCGCTCGATACAAGCAGAAAGGGTGGCAGATGCTGAGGTGGACAACGAGGGGCACAACAGAAACTTAAAGAAACAGCTATACTTGGAGCATCCTGCCTGAATCCTCAGAGACCTGTTGGCACTAAAGAAACAGCTATACTTGGAGCATCCTGCCTGAATCCTCAGAGACCTGCTGGCACTCAGTGACATGCGGAAAACAGACTCCCCAATCTGTAAGATTGTACCATAGGTATGTTTATTCAGCGCTGGGCAGCACGGGGGGCAGTCCCACCAAAGTTGTGCGCGCCGCAACACGGCAGCTTGTCCTGTTTATATGTAGCAAAGTGTTACATATACATGAAGTTTCCCAATACACCTATACATAGGCATAACCTGTCCCTGCTTCGCATTAAAATTAGTTTCAAGAGGTCATTTCCATAAGTCCCTCCCGACTGCACATGCTCAGTGATTTGAGTCAGTGGTCTTCAGGGGTCGTTTACTTCATCCACTCCTCTTCTTCACCTTGCCCTTTTGGTGAACTCCAGCTTCCACCCCCCTTATTCCACTGTCAGAACAAAACAGCCGGTACCAACTGGCTCCCCATCCTTGGCTATCCTCATATCGACAAAGTGCTAGCCACTTTGTTCTCCTACATGCCTTCCAAGGCCTGTAACAATGATGGGCCATTTCCTACTAATCTCTCCTCTTCCCCATTCCCTACAGTGTTAGTTTCTTATCTATAGTTTACTTCATATGATTAGTAAGTTAATCTAAAACACAATGCTAGCAATTTAAGATGGATCTACAGTTGGCTTCACAAAGGTCCTTTTGTTAACCCTTTAGCCTCCCTTCACTCAGACAGCCTGAAGCACCTCAGCTCTTTCCACAAGGAAACGACTGGAAAAGGGCTTGGGTTTTGGTTTTGTGTTGGTCTGTTTTTGTGAAATTTCACCATAAACCGTTGCTTCTTGATATGAGAGACCTGGCCAGGCACAGGCATCAAAAGCCAGCAATCAGCAGGTACCAGCAGCTGTGGCTTGGGAAGGTCAGCTTCCACCTCAGCTGGAGCATTTTCTTGCTCAGGTCTCTGTTTGGTGCTCAGTCTCTGAACATCCTTAATACTTTTCAGCGCTGTTGCTAGTAAACCAGCCAGATGACACATGCCTGTCCTTGAAGAGCCTATGGGGAAGCAGTGGTAGAACCATCTGCTTTTCTTGGCCTGTGTTAGCTGGAGCCAGTTACTGTTACTGTGCAATAGGAGAAGCGCAGCTGCAGAAACACTCCTGCCTGCTGCTAAGCAGGCAGCCCGAGAAGCCTGATAAGGCTCAAAATGCCGTGCTGGGGCTTGGCAGCAGTGGCCTATGACTTATCCATGGAGCAGCTTGCCACAAGAGTGAGGCAGGCAATGCCACGCCCCAACCTCTCCCAGCTGCCTGAAGATCTTGACTTAATTTTTTAAAAATGAAACTTAGTGTTACAAAGACATAATGTAAAGGAGGTGGGAGGGAGATCATACAAGAAAGGTTGAATGACGCGGAGAGGGACCTTCAAATCATAGAACAATTATTAACATCTCATTGCTTCTGAGGACAGTTGTGGTGGGCACAGGAAGGCAAAAAACCCCATTTATAATGGCTTTACTTAGAAGGGGGAATAGGACAAGGCAGACATTTAAACAAAAACCAAGGCACCCACACAGTTCCTGGACATCCTATGAACCAAGGGAGCCCACCAGCTTCTGACAGAGATGGAAAAGGACACAGGAGAAACAGAGAAGTCTCCCCTAGGCTCTTGGGTTTCTCAGAAGGGAATTTCTCCACTCGATGCCCTCAGGGAGGAGGCATGTCCACAGGAGTCCTTTGCAATCTCACTGATCTTAAGTTGGGTAATAGAAACCTACTTACAATAGCACCCAAGCCACCAGCTGCACAGCAGTCAGGGAACTGGAACAAATTCCTTGGGAGAAAAAGAGCCAAAAGGAAGAGCTCTTTGAGCAACTATGACCCAAATGGCCCTGTATTGCCAAGCCACAGCCTTGAGGATGAAGCCTTCATCCTCTGGAGATGCTGGTTTCTCTCCATGGACTATTATGTAGGCTTCCTAGTTTAGGGTTGAAGGTCTAACTCAGGTGTGAAAATGGAGATGGTGCCAATCACTCCTGAAGCTGTAGGTTTCCTTTACGGCTATCAGCACTACCCTTGGGAATTAACGCTCCTGATCTCCTCTTCCCAAGAGGCAGTGATTTCTTCCAGCCACCCTTGGGAAAAGAAGATGCCTCAGCACTGCTCCCAAGGTGCTTCTCTACCTCTGCGGACAGAGCAGACTTTTAGGGAGACCACATATGGCATCTGTCCTGCAGCAAGGTGCTGAGGATACACCAGCTCCCCACCGCACACCACTATGTATTAGCACCAACATTCAGCTCTTTTTTTTTCTTTTTAAAAAAAATTACTTTTTGAATACTGACAATCACATGTTTTAATAATTTCAGCATCTTTTGAGGATCAAAGCTATACTGATGCGTCCACAATTCCTCCAGTCCTCCTTTTTCAGCCCTCTTCTCATTGGTAATATGTAGGCTGTGTTACCAAAATCAGCTGGTACAGACAGAGCTTTAAACAATCATTTTTGCTCAGATGTCAAACCACGTA